CGGGCACTAGCGCTCACAAGTGCTGTTCCTCAGGGCGGAGGGCTGAGTACTTGCCTCCCCAGCCCGGCGGAGAGCGGTCCCTCCCTCGCGCGGAGCAAGGGGCTGCACGCTCCCTCGGATCTCCCCGGGCACCCGCCCCTTTGCGCACCACACGTGTATCGAGAACCCTGGATGCACACGAGGAATGAGGCCGAGTCTGTTTCCAATGCAAGGGACCCAAAGGGAAGAGAATCTGGTGCTAGGTGTGAATGTCGGTGCTCAGCTCTGCACCCTGTGATCGTGTTACTGCACGTTCCCTTTCCCTGAGTGTTAAGGCTGGTGAGTAGAAAGCCTTGCAGCCTGACCCCAACCCAACTGTTATTTCTGGTCCCCTGCTCCTACCCATGGGCCAGGATCAGTGAGGCTAGTGGTGGTGGGTGCTGCAGAGGGAGTGTAGTGATGAGTTGCAGTATCTGTCACTCCAAGCACACTCTGCGTTGTGTGAGGTAATGGCCGCTGCCTTGCTGATCCTACTGGTTGGAAGCGGCTTGAAGCGGATCTCAGGCATGGGGAATGGGAAGGTCCCACTAGGCCAAGGAAGTGGGGGAAGCATTGGGTTTGGGCCTGGTCAGTCATAAAAATGACTCAAAAGTCTTAGGTTAGGTTCAGGTTGGGCTTTAAAATTAGCCTCAGCAGACTTCTGCCCATCATTACTCACAGTGCCCAGCTCTGCTCTCTAGGAAATGCTAATGCTAATTCACTCTGGAATGAATACTGGAACTACTCACAAACTGTGAGGAATAATCAGAGATGTGAATGGGAACCTTGCAAATATCAGCTGTGGCTGGGGGGCTGAGAGCAGGGAGTGGAGGCAACTGCACGATGGTGGTGGGCGGGTAGGGCAGGGAAGAAGGAGCAGCAGTGGCGGCTTCCATGCAGCCAAGAGGGCCGGCAACAGTAGCTCCCTACAGCCGGGATGCCAGGCAGGAGTGGTTCCCCACTGGGAACCTGCGCTTAATCAGTTAACTGGTTATGCCCAGGCTACATCTACACTGGCGCGTTCTCACGCAAAAACTCTTTTTTTAATCTAGCCCTATGCTGTGTCTAGACTGGCATGATTTTGTGGAAATACTTTTAACGGGAAAGTTTTTCCATTAAAAGTATTTCCGCAAAAGCACATCTAGATTGGCACGGATGCTTTTGCGCAAAAAGTGCTTTTCACAAAAGCATCCGTGGCCAGTCTAGACACGATTTTGCAAAGAAAGACCCAATTGCCATTTTAGCCATCGGGGCTTTTTTGCATAAAACAGTTCTTCCCTGTCTACACTGGCCCTCTTGCACAAGTATTCTTGCGCAAGAGGGCTTTTTCCTGAGCGGGAGCATGAAAGTATTTGTGCAAGAAGCACTGATTTTGTACATTACAAAGTCAGTGCTCTTGCGCAAATTCAAGCGGCCAGTGTAGACAGCTGGCAAGTTTTTGCGCACCCCTAGTGTTTAACCCGTTAACTGATTAACCAGGATTTTATATTCCTAGGAATAATACTTAGCTCTTATACTGGTGTGAGCCTGTGGGCCAGAGGATTCAGGAGGAGCAGCAGGCAGCCTCAGCTGGCCAGAGGATGGGGCTGGTGGCAGGAGCTGGTGCTGAGCCCGCAGGGGATCAGCCAGGGTTGGGGCTGGCCACCGAAGCAAATACATAGCACACAGCTGCTAGGGCACCACAGGTAAATAGGATGAAGTTTAACAAGGACATATGCAAAGTAGTCCACTTAGGAAGGAACAATCAGTTTCACACATACAAATGGGAAGTGACTGTCTAGGAAGGAGTACTGCTTAAAGGGGGCTAGGGTTATAATGGACCAGAAACTAAATATGAGTCAACAGTGTGGCACTGTTGCAAATAAAGCAAACCTGATTCTGGGATGCATTAACAGGTATGCTGTGAGCAAGACACAAGGGCTGTGTCTAGACTGGCAAGTTTTTCCGCAAAATCATCTGCTTTTGCGGAAAAATTGGCCGCTTGAATTTCCGCAAGAACACTGACGATCTCATGTAAGAACGTCAGTGTTCTTACAGAAATACTATGCTGCTCCCGTTCAGGCAAAAGCCCTCTTGCGCAAATCATTTTGCGGAAATACTTTTGCGCAAGAGGGCCAGTGTAGACAGCACAGTACTGTTTGTGCAAAAAAGCCCCGATGGCTAAAATGGCGATCGGGGCTTTTTTTGCGGAAAAGCGCGTCTAGATTGGCATGGACACTTTTCTGCAAAAAGTGCTTTTGCGGAAAAGCGTCCGTGCCAATCTAGATGCTCTTTTCTGAAAATGCTTTTAACGGAAAACGGAAAACTTTTCCGTTAAAAGCATTTCCGGAAAATCATGCCAGTGTAGACGTAACCAAGAAGTCATTCTTCTGCTCTACTCTGCACTGATTAGACTTCAGTTGGAGTATTGTGTCCAGTTCTGGGCATCACATTTCAAAAAAGATGTGGAAAAAAATAGAGAAGGTCCAGAGAAGATCAACACAAATGATTAAAGGCCTAGAAAACATGACCTGTGAGGGAAGACTGAAAGAACTGGGGTTGTTTAGTTTAGAAAAGACAAGACTGTGAGAGGGGACAGATAGCGGTTTTCAAGTATCTAAAAGAGTGTTACAAGGAAGGGGGAGAAAAATTATTCTTGGCCTCTGATGATAGGACAGGAAGCAATGGGAATAAGCTGCAGCAAGGGAGGTTTAGGTTGGACATTAGGAAAAACTTCTTAACTGTCAGGGTGGGTAAACATTGGAATAAATTGCGTAGGGAGGTTGTAGAATCTCCTTCACTGGAGATATTTAAGAGCAGGCTGGATAGACATCTATCAGGGATGATCTAGAGATGGTGCTTGGTTCTGCTGTGAGGTCAGGGGACTGAACTTGATAATCTGTCGAGGTCCCTTCCAGTTCTAGTCTATGATTCTATGATTCCCTGGACAAAAGCACCTGTCCTCTTGTGAATTAACACATCTTCAGGTGCAGCATTTCCCGTGGAAGGAAGTGTGCCAGCGGAAATGACAGCAGTCCACCACATGCAGAGCCATTTCCTGGTCGCGATGTCTTCAGCTCCAGCCAACATGGCTTAAGCGAGTGAGGGAGAGGTGAGGACAGGGTGGAAATGTTCTTGGTTTCTGGTGTTGAACAGGATACTGAAAAAACACAGCAAAGACATAGTGTCTGTATGATCAGCAATGCAAGAGCCCAGGGTGAAATCAATTATTAGGGAAAATCCAAAATACTACAGGATCAAGAGATAAAAAAGAAATATGAAGCCAAAGATGTCAGTGAGCTTAGGTAAACTATGCTCACAGAATCACACTTATCACTCAATAGAATGCACTATTGGCACAGTTCTACCATCAATTGCATGAATACAATCCCATAGATTTAATTTGCTACCTATGGGTATGTCTACACTACCCCGCTAGTTCGAACTAGCGGGGTAGTGTAGACGTACCCTTTGAAATCAAGCTGAATCAAGCTTTGTAAGTCTGTAAAAGATTACTATGTCTCTTTTATCCATGCAACTTGGTTATACGTATACATGCTCCTTTGATGGCAGAAATAGCTCCTTGGGGAAAGTGTTCAGTGATGCTTTTGCATATACAGGCTATAAGTCCAAGATACATTCCAAAAAATGTGGATTTATAGTGAAACAACTTAAAGCAGAGAATGGTTTTTCCGTGGCTGACTTCTATTTGCGCCAATGGTTTTGTGTGCATGCGACTTAAGAGCGGGGAATAGGAGAACTTAGGGCTGTCAAGTGATTAAAAAAATTAATTGTGATTAATCACATATTTAAAAAATGTAATTGCGTGATTAATTGCGTGTGCTGCCCCTTTGAAATTCTGCGGCGGAGTTTCAAAGGGGCAGCGCTGCGGAAGCCTGGGATCAGCTGGAGTCTTCAGCTGACTGACCCCAGGCTCAGTGCAGCTGCCTCTTTGAAACTCAGTGGCGGAGTTTCAAAGGGGCAGCGCTGCAGGAGCCCGGGATCAGCTGGAGTCTCCAGCTGACCCTGGCTCTGTGCAGTGCTGCTCCTTGGAAAGGCCACCCTGGAAGGCCACAGCTGACCCCAGGCTCTGTGCAGTGCTGCTGCTTTGAAGCGCTGGAGCGGCACTTCAAAGGGTCAGTAGAACATGGAGCCGGGGATCAGCTGGAGTGCCCATCTGATCCCCTGCTCTGCATTGCGCTGCCCCTTTGAAGTGCTGCTAATGGTTCTTGATGTCTATGTAGAATCTGGTGTTGGTCATCTTCCTTTCCAAGTGCAAGCTAATGGTTCTTATCAGCCTCTTGTAACTATTTAGTCTTTAAGGTGCTACTAGACTATTTGTTGTTTTTTAAGTTTTCCTGTTACAGACTAACTCGGCTATCCCTCTGAAGCTTATCTACTCACTGTCTCTTTTTTTTTTCTTCTCCTCCTCCACATTTTTCCCTCCTCCCTCCTTCCCTTATTTATTCTTGGATCTGGACTTCCAACACTCCTGTCATCTGAAGAAGTGGTTGTGCCCACAAAAGCGCATGATACCATCTACATGTTTTGTTAGTCTTTAAGGTGCTACTAAACTTTTTTTTTTTTTAATTTAGTAATACCAATAGGAAAACTACTATGCAGGCGGAAACCAGCGGAATCTGGAAACTCCGTGCATGGGCCACACAGAACCCCAATGGGTTGCATGCAGTCTGTGAGCCTCAGGTTGCCCACCACTGAGTTAAGGAAATGCTAATAGTCCCATGCATGAGAGGATGGGAAACATGGCTTTTTTGTTGTTGAAGAGCTGTGACTTTGGGGTACTCTTTCAACACATAGGCCAAGCACAAGAGAGACTAAAGAGGAGTTAGTAATAGAGAGGTAGCCATGTTAGTCTGATCTGCTAAAACAAAAGGAAAAAACTATGTAGCACTTTAAAGACTAACAAGGTGGTTTAGTAGGTGATGAGCTTTCATGGGCCAGACCCACTTTCTCAGATCGTATTCTGGAAGAGAATTGGCATGACCATATATACCAAAGTGAAAAAAGTGAACACATTATAAAACTGACAAATCAGATTTAGTACAGAAGGTAGGGTGAGGGGAAGGGAGGAAGGGAATAGGAGTTTCAGATGTATTTGCTTTGGGATTGTTTTATATTCTTGTGACAGGGTTCAGTCACAGAAGATCCCTTGGGGGTGCTTCCCGGTGTGCTGACAAAACCACTAACAATCGCCTCTTTGATCTCGGGGGCTTCTAACGACTCTGTCCTGCTGGGCCAGAGCCCCTGGTTTCCTCCAGCTAAGGCACAGAGCTGAAATCACCACCCCCTCTGAGGAGCAATATAGACTCTGAAACTCTTCAAGTCTGAGGAAAATGCAGTTTTGGGCCCAGCTTCCAGGGAAACCACTCACGAATTGGGATCAGAATCCCCTAATAAATTATTCAGGTAAGCCCCCTTTAACAATAAAAGGAGTATGTACACTGATTGCTCCCCCAGGTAACAGTCATTTATGCTGGGCTTGACCTATCCATTTTAATGTCTCAATCTGCTGGATTTGTATATCTTATGTTGGAGTATGTATCATTCTTGTATGTAAAGTTAGAAATATGGAGTATAGAATGGTTTATTGTTTTAAATGTGTAAATGAAAGCCATCAGGGGTGTTTCTCTCAATGTCTGGGTGATCATCTGTAAACAGCCTCTTTTGTCCTTTAAGTCTAAGCAGTGGATAGTCTTAGAAAGTCATGTGACCCCCTTAACTGGTAGGGTCTGACCAGATAATTTTCCATGGAAGGGTGAAATGTACTGAGACAAAGAATTCCTGCTCAAAAATAAGGCTATTTAAGATGCAAAGTTTTTCAGTTCTTGGTCTTTGGCTGGCATGTCACTCCCAAGAGAATGAATCAAAGACCCCAGGGGGAAAAGATCTACTCTGGTTTGGAGGCTTAGCTGAAATAAGAATAATTTTAAAGTAATTTTGTACTGAGGTTTTAGAGTTAGAACTAGTTATGCGTTTTCTGTTATTTTAAATTTGTAATCTACTTTGCTCGTCCTTAAAGCCTACTGCTTGCACTTAAATAAATTGCTTAGGGTATGTCTACACTCCCCCGCTAGTTCGAACTAGCGGGGTAGTGTAGACATACCCTAAGTGATTTATTTAAGTGCAAGCAGTAGGCTTTAAGGACGAGCAAAGTAGATTACAAATTTAAAATAACAGAAAACGCATAACTAGTTCTAACTCTAAAACCTCAGTACAAAATTACTTTAAAATTATTCTTATTTCAGCTAAGCCTCCAAACCAGAGTAGATCTTTTCCCCCTGGGGTCTTTGATTCATTCTCTTGGGAGTGACATGCCAGCCAAAGACCAAGAACTGAAAAACTTTGCATCTTAAATAGCCTTATTTTTGAGCAGGAATTCTTTGTCTCAGTACATTTCACCCTTCCATGGAAAATTATCTGGTCAGACCCTACCAGTTAAGGGGGTCACATGACTTTCTAAGACTATCCACTGCTTAGACTTAAAGGACAAAAGAGGCTGTTTACAGATGATCACCCAGACATTGAGAGAAACACCCCTGATGGCTTTCATTTACACATTTAAAACAATAAACCATTCTATACTCCATATTTCTAACTTTACATACAAGAATGATACATACTCCAACATAAGATATACAAATCCAGCAGATTGAGACATTAAAATGGATAGGTTATATGAGGTATTCTGTCTAAAGCATCTTCAAATTATGCATTTTTGTGTCCATAAGTCAATTCCATAATGCATGGAGGGTGGAGGGAATTGTCACAATTCTGTCACTCAGATCTGACCTGATCTTTCACAGGAATCAGGAATGGATATAGGAACCTTTTACTCTTCCATATGGGATGCAGTTTTGTCCAGAAATATACTAGATAGCTGCCCTTTTCTCCAGTCCCATCCCCTACTGCCCCAATGTGGTTACAGCTGTCCTAGTTCCTATCTCTGGCCTCTTGCTACTACCTTGTGGTCATTCTGCAATATAACTGTCCCTCCTGCTAGATCCCTCCCGTGCTACCAGACCATTTGTTGTTTTTTTCCTATCACATTCCAGGCACGTCCCATTGTTCTGGCACACCCAAATCCTTGACTTCCTTAAAGTTGTGATAAGAGGGAGCTGCATACCAAATTAGGAGGAGTTCTTAAACAAATGGACTCACAGATGGACACACACACACACACACACACACACACACACACACACACACACACACATTTCTAAAATATATAGTAAGATTAAATAGATTTAACTTTATTTAAATAATGTATTTTTCCTTTGACAGAAATGAATCATTAAAATCATTGTCCAGGCACAGTGGCCAACCTACAAAGCCCTACCACCCCTTTGTCGACTGCACAAGATAGTTGGAAATAAGGGAAGCAAAATGATCATGGCCATAGGTAATCTGTCCCAACATACTTACCAACTTCTACAGAAGGGAGTTTCACTGAAAAGTCCTTGTTCCAACTTGAGCTCAAATGAATCTTGACATGGCAAGGAAAGACAACTAAGGTGATCTTGGTTGCCTTTGAGTGCATAAGGTTGAACAATGTAGGCACTTGAGTCCTAGAGCATAGTTTCTTAGTCCGATAATTGAACAATTATGTGGTCCTAGAACAATAGTGCCATTCTTCTAGTTGTTTCAGGGGGTAGCCAAGTTAGTCTTTGCAGGATAAACTTAAAAAAAACCAAATAGTTTCTGGTAGCACTTTATAGACTAACAAAACATGTAGATGATATCACGAGCTTTTGTGGGCAAAGCCCACTTCTTCAGATGATCGGAGTTTTGAGTTTAGGATGTCCAGACCCAAAATAAGCAGGGGGGAAGTTAACAGTAGCCTAGGTCTCATTCCACTAGTTGGGCCATTTTCGTTGTCAGTGGAAACAAATGCAGGGAACAACATTGTTTTTTGGGAAAGTATCCCTTCTGTTGACATGCATGTATATGATTTTAGCACTGGTAATAAGTAGCTCATCAAAATGAGTAAGAATAAACTTTCATTAAGCCGGACACTCAAGGAAGGAAACTAGTCATCAGTTGCATTACAAAGCTAACAGTGATAATTATGAATGAGGGGATGGGGTTCAGCCTTGTTAGAAATGCCCCTAGGCAAATCCCTTTCTGACTCAGGATTAGTTAATGAGATGGGACATAATCACCCTGCCTGGTGTGAACATATTCTAATTTTGCAAACTGGGCCCCTTTGTTTGTTTCCTTTGTTGTTCTTGTCTTCTGCTGCCAGAGCAGTAGTTAGTACCTAATTAGGGAAATAACTGAGTCAAAATGATTATTAACCAATATGCTGAAATAGTCACTGTGATGCACAAAACATGGTGCAAAATTCATGTATATTTTTCATTTGCACTAGCCTGCGTGTAGAGTTCAGTCTGTTTGAACTATTTGAAGGGGGGGAAACAGCTGCTTGGTGAATCATACAAACTGCAAAGTTATTCATAAAGAAGTTTTATTAGGTCATCTAGTACACTGTCTGCCAAGACAGACTCACTCCCTGACCCTGCTGTGTATTTTCTAGTGTTTTGTCTTAACCATTTTTCAGTGTTTCGCACTGTTGGATGATTAGCTGATTTATTAAACTGTCCACTATTGATCAACAAACATTTTTTGGTAGCCCTTTTCCCTAAATGCTCTATTGAAATGAAATTGTCTATAATAAAAATGGAATAGAGTTTGGTTTAAAAAAAAAGACATTTCCAGATCATTAGTTTCTTCTTTGCATTACCATGGTCTCTTGTCTACTGGAAATTGCTAAGTGCACCTGGAGGTTAGGGTCTGATTTTCTTTTCCATTGTCTCATTGACAAAATGAAATGCATGTCAGCCCTTGTTCTTGTTTTAAGGTACAAACACATTTCTATACTGAATAACAAAAACACTTATTAAACTATAGTGCTGAAAATTATAGCTGGATTTTATAAAGGGAGGGATCATTTTATAAACAATGTAGAACATCTGTAGTTCTTTAATTAGATTATTTTCATGTTACCCCTTAAATTTCTCTTTGATAAGCTAAATATATTATGCACCTGGAACTTCTCGCTACAAAACACTCATCCTTACAGCTCTTTTTTTTTAAACCCTCTCCAGTTTATCAATATCCAGCTTGAAGTGTGGATACCAGAACTGGACACAATATTCCAGTGGCAATTGCACCATCATCAGGTACAGAGGTAATGTAAGTTCTCTATTTTCACTTGGTAGATTCCTGTTAAGCCCTTGTAGGCACAGGGTCACTGTGCCATGCTGGCTCTGAAAGAATTAACTAGAGATGAAGAACTCTATTAGAGCACCTTGTTGTACCTGGAGGGTGGGCCAAGTCTAATTAAAGATGAGTCACAGCTGCTGGAGGAAGGGGACAAAGATGAGCCACAGCTGCTGTCCACTTCCCCATCAGTGTCACTTACAGACTTCATCACTAATTACTTTGTTGGGTTTTGTAAAATAATGTATAATGGTTGTTGATAAAAATATCACATAACTTAGGGTTAAGAACCTATCTGTGAGTGGTCCAATTAGAAATACACTTACCTGATAATTCCATGTTGACAATTACATTTAGGGTGTGTCTACACTGCACTTGTAGCTCGAAATAAGCTACACAATTTGAACTACACAAATTGCGTAGCTTATTTTGAGTCAATTTCAAAATAGCTTATTTCAAAATTTGACACTGTCTACACAGCACTTATTTTGCAATAAATCGCTATTCCGAAACATCCCTTACTCCCCCTAGAATGAGGTTTATAGGGATGTCGGAATAGGAAGCCCTCAAAAGATGCTGAATAGCCTGAGACCTATCAGCAGTGTTCCCTCTAAGCTGCATGGCAGCACAGCTTCACTGGTAATTAATCAGCTCCACCCAGTGAGTCAGCTCCCTGCAGAGAGCCCTGAGCCTCTGACTGGACAAGGCTGATTAATCACTTGGGAAGCTGTGCCACTGCACAGCTTAGAGGGAACACTGCGGATCAAGCAGTTTTTTAATGTGTTTTAATATTTTAGTATGAGTCTTCTTGATTTTATATCACTCTAATTTCTTAATAAAAATGTTGTGTGGTGTTAAGTCAAATATTTTATGAAGTCTTAGATATATTACATTCACTTTATTGTCTACCAAGCCTATAATCTCATTAAAGAAAAGTTAGTATGTAACTCTCCCCCATGTTGATGGGCATTCATTATTAATCAAGTCCTGTATCGACTATTTACCTTCTGGCTCAGACAGCTATATTTCTGGATCTAACAAGACAAGTCGTTTTCAAGAAAATGCATACTAAATTGCACCCTTCCACAGCATCATTGTTCCAGTCTGTCATAGATGCTGCCCCTTGCTCATCCCCATAACAAACCCTTCTTTGGGTTGTGTGTGCCCAAGGGGAAAGGAATGTAGGGAGTGGAGGCATAAATTCACATGGAGCAGTTCAAACCAAACTACAAAATAAAGAAAAATTACCCTGAATGTGACTAGATTCACTTTTCCCCTTACTTACTTCCAATTTTCTCTTTGTTCAGTCCACTCACATGCCCCAAATTCCTTGGAGATGTGGTAGTCCTGCCTGGGTTTAAATCATTCTGTCTCTCTCAACTCCTGTTTTTTTCTCTCCCACACAAAGAAAGCAGCAAGGAATCAACACTCTATCTCGATTGGTGCTACCAGCCCCCTGGCCAACACCTTTACTAGATACCTGAGTTTAACCCCTTAGTCACCGGGTGCTGGTCAGCACTCCTCCTGTCCATTACAGCTATGGATTTCAGCGGTGGGCCCCACTAGTGTTTTTGTGCTCATTATATTGTTATTCCAGAAAGGCCTGAGATGTCCTGGATCTGAGAAGTTTGAATCCAGAACTGGATACAAATCTGTTTTGAACGAGAGCTTGGGGATGGACGTTTGAATTCAGACTTCCAGTTCAAGCTTATTATACTGATTGGAATTAGGGATATAAGCAACTAGTCAAGTAGTGTCTTGACTAGTCACTTCCCTCCCCACTTGCTGCTTCTATCAGAAAGAGGCAGTAAGGGGCGGGGATAGCCAGGAGCCAATGCTGGAGGGAGCTGGCTTAAAAGCCGGTTCCCCCCAGCACTGTCTGGAGAGGGCAGGGGAGGCAGAGGTGTAGCTGGGACTGAGCAAAAGCCGGTTCCCCCCAGCACTGTCTGGAGAGGGCAGGGGAGGCAGAGGTGTAGCTGGGACTGAGCGTGAGCTGGGAATCATCTGATTCCCGGATTGCGCCCAGTCCCAGATGTTGCACCTCTTCTTTTTAAATGTATTAAGAGTCTGGCAGCTCTTAATATATTTAAATACAGAGGTACAGCAGGGGAACCGGGCAGGAGACAGGAATCAGCTGATTCCTAGCTTGGACCTGGTCCTTCCGCTATGCCCTTGTCTTTTAAATGTATTAAGAGCCTGGCAGCTCTTAATGTATTTAAAAAGCAGAGTCGCAGTGTGGTTAGCTCCCCGGGCCAGGAGCTAACCCTGCTGCTGCTCTGCAGTTTTCCCCTTATCAACTAATTGAGTAGTCGATGGAAATTCTGCTCGATTAGCTGATTACGCACAATTTTACATCCCTAATTGGAACTGCACATCAAACCAAACTCCCTCAAATTTCAGGGCACTGGATACAGGTTCCATAATTGTCATTTCATTTTCTAACATTGAGCACTTATGCTATGGCAAAATTGTCTCAGTCTATATAAAACAGAAATGAATAGACCTTCCCTGCCCAAATACCTTCTACTCCAAGCGCCCCATTTAAGTGCAACTGAAGTCCACAACAGTTTTACCTTTGAATTCAGGGCAGCAATGGGACAATAACTTTGGCTTAGTAGCAGTAGTTGTGGTGTGACTAAGGCCTGACAACAGCAAGTTTATAGCAGTCATACACAATGATCCCATGATTTTCATATCTATGGCTTTTGATAAGTCTATGTTATTTTATGCTGGCTTGCAATATTTTGATGCACCCTAGCATCTCCTAACTCTCTGTTATCACAGCAAATTGGTTATCTTGTCCTTTACATCAAAAAGGCGAAATAGAAAGGTTCTGCCAGGTAGAAAGTCATGTTGTGATGTGTAACTCTTTACTTTTCAATTTTAAGTGTTTTCCTGCAGTTACTCTCTTCTTTGGAGAGGTTAGGGCCGGGTATTATATGGTGCAGGCACTATAATTGTTTTTTTTCACAATGATCATTTGACTTAAAGAATCTTATATTGAGATTTGACCCCTTCCTCACCCAGCCCCAAGCCTGAGCTTCTGAAAGTCATGTCCTGAGTGAGGATGTTTCCTTCCTTGATGCCAAATCAATGTAAAATGTGTTTACCCTGGTTTTCTTCTAGGCCTGGAGACAGCAGACCTTGGTAATTGTGCATGGAAGGAAAATAATGATGGCATAACCTTATTAGCATGGTTGATATACATCTGACTTCATAGATGATTTGCTGCTGCAGTGTACTTGAAAATGTAATAAAAAGAAATTAGGGCATGTAGGAGGAAGAACCATCTCTTCTTCCAGGACTAGTATGATACTCTTTCTAAAAATGCCATGGGAAACTTCACTCTATGGCTATGGTTACACTGTAACCTTCTTCTGGAAAAGCTTATGCAAATGAAGCACGGAACGGAATATCGCCGTGCTTCAGTTGCATAATTAATTAGCAGCTGCTTTTGTGCAAGAGGCTTTTGCGCAAAAAGGAGCTATGTAGACGGCTCCTTTTTATGCCAAACCCCTCTCTTGTGCAAGAGCCGTTCTTCCTCATTAGCAAGCTCATTAGAAAGAACGGTTCTTGAGAAAGAGGGAGGTTTTGCGCAAAAAGGAGCCGTCTACACAGCTCCTTTTTGCTCAAAAGCCTCTTTTGCAAAAGCAGCTGCTAATTAATTATGCAAATGAAGCGTGGTAATATTCCGTGCCGTGCTTCATTTTCATAAGCTTTTCTGGACAAAGGCTACAGAATAGCTGTAGCCTACATGTCAGTGTAACTATTAACCATAATATAAAAAATAGATTAGTTTTATCCAGTTCTATTTTTTAACCTTCTTTGCATTGATATGTATCTCACCTTAATATTATTATATGCAATTGTTGTCAGGTTCTAGCAAACTGCATAGATAAAAACAACTGTTCTGCTGACTCACTCTAGCTAGCTGGCCAAGAGGACCTTCAGCACTGGCGTTTGTGTGTCTTAGAAGTATGAACTGGGAAGAGAGCTAGGAGTCATTTAGGAAACAATTCTACAAATATCCAAATAAACCAACCAACCAAGGAGCCACCTATAGGAAGTCTGTTTATTGTTATTTAAATTAAAAGTTAAATTTTTACTCTGTCCAGGATATGTGTGGCTCTGTTTGTCCTTTGTTAAGAACCGTATAGGAATGCCACTTGCTTAAAGGCCTTTTCTAGAACAGCGATTCCCAACCGTTTCCAGATGGGAACCCATTTTGACAATTCAGGAAGACTTGGTGACCTAAGGCAATTCAAAAATGGGGGGAGGAGGGTGGGCAGAGCCACTTGGGGAGACACTCAGTGACCCTTTTGAAGTGTAATGGCAACCCATATTTGGGTCCTGACCCATCGGTTAGGAAACCCTGTTCTAGATTCTCCTCAACAAGGCTACGTCTACACTGGCCCCTTTTCCGAAAGGGGCATGCTAATTTTACAGGTCGTAACAGGGAAATCCGCGGGGGATTTAAATATCCCCCGCGGCATTTAAATAAAAAGGTCCGCCGCTTTTTTCCGGCTTTTAGAAAAGCCGGAAAAAAGCGGCGGACCTTTTTATTTAAATGCCGCGGGGGGTATTTAAATACCCCCCGCGGCATTTAAATAAAAAGGTCCGCCGCTTTTTTCCGGCTTTTAGAAAAGCCGGAAAAAAGCGGCGGACCTTTTTATTTAAATGCCGCGGGGGGTATTTAAATACCCCCCGCGGCATTTAAATAAAAAGGTCCGCCGCTTTTTTCCGGCTTTTAGAAAAGCCGGAAAAAAGCGGCGGACCTTTTTATTTAAATGCCGCGGGGGATATTTAAATCCCCCGCGGATTTCCCTGTTACGACCTGTAAAATTAGCATGCCCCTTTCGGAAAAGGGGCCAGTGTAGACGTAGCCCAAGTGTAAAGCAGCATAGTTCCACTGCCTTCAAAGGGACTACTTTTCCAATAACTAAGGATCTGGTCCATAATTTTGAAGCTTTGATTCTCAGGAGTTTCATTGACTTCAAAGGGGTTATTCACAAGGCTTTATGATGTAGGTAGCAGATTGTTATTTTTATGATTATCATTATGAGATGATGAATAACAGTTTGATTCCAAAGGGAGGCTCTACCATATCCATTATATATATGCACGCTTTCTTCCAAATAACCAATAATAACAAAACGCTTCAACTCAAAGTACTAAGAGATGTTGTGGGGTCTTCATTTCTGGTATGTGCTGACCTTTGAATTAACTTCATGATTCGTTTTCCTTGCTTAAGAAATGTCATACTCACAAAAGGCAATGGACTAATAACTCCAGAAACTTCAGCCCTCTCCTTGTCTGTGGAAAAACAGCAGTGTAAGCTTTCTTGAGCAAGTTCCAGACCTCATTTCTGACTTTAAGAACCTCTTTTGAGATGACAGGAGAAATTCATTCCATCCAACCTTCTGCCTTCTGGCTAAGTTTGCCAGCTCGAGGTGGTTAAAGTTTCTCATCTAACTCTGTTTTAGGCAAAAAGAATTTTTTTATTAAAATGGAAATTTATGGGGAAAATTTCAAATTTGGAATTTTTGTCAAACTGAAATTTCAACATCCAATTCCTGTAAGTGTTTCAGTTTTAAAAACTTGGAAAGGAAAGGAAAGGAAAGGAAAGGAAAGGAAAGGAAAGGAAAGGAAAGGAAAGGAAAGGAAGGTTTTGGCATTTTCATCAAATTCCTCAAAACTTTTTGTTAATGAAAATGAACCTTTTTTACTCAAAATTGTTAATGGGAAAACAACTCTTCACAACTCTTTTGCTAGCTGTCCATTCTTGCATTTGTCAATATCTTCAATTTATGGCCAGAGTTATTTGGTAGTACAGCAGCTGACATATACTCTATTTTATAGCATTAGAAGATTTACCTGGCGTTGCTTGGATCCTTAACTCAAATACGTTTTGTTTTTCTTCATTTAAATAATTTCTCTGGGCTGGGGCTGGGGATGAGGGGTTCAATATGTAGGCTGCCCTGGAGAGAGAAGCCAGCCCCAGCTCTCTCTCACCACAGCACCTTAGGGCCAGGTGAGAAGCACTTATCCATGGCTGCTGCAGCTGCAGCGGGCACAGCTGGGGAAGGGCTCCCCATCCCCCTGCTGGGGGCCAGACAGACACACAAACAGACAAACTCTCTGAAATATATTGTAGATAGTTGTCCCTTTTTCTACCCCTTCTCCCTGCTGGCTCAATGGGGTTATAACTGTCCCAGTCAAATCTTTGGCTGCTTGCTGCCTCCCTGTGGTCATTCTGCAGTATAACTGTCCCTCCTTCTAGACTCTTCCTTTTCGAGTTCCAGGCACATCCCATTGTCCTGGCACACCCAACCCCACCCTTTACTTTAAACTGTGACACAAGGAAGCTTCATACCAACTTTGGTGGTCCTAGCTCTTACCATTTAGGAAAAGTTCTTGGACAAATGGGCTCACAGATGGATAGACAGGCAGATGCATATTTCTAAAATATATAGTAAGATTAGGACACAGTGTATAAGCAGTGCCTGGATCCTATGTTAAAGAAGATGAAATATCACTAGGTTAGAAGGTCTGAGTCAGTATTTATTATTTTCTTAACTGAGTTCAATAGATGAGACAATATAGTATGTGCACTGTTGTGGTCAGATGACACATTCATTGCTAGATGCCAAATGTATGTCATTTTAAAGTTTTGCTTGAAATTTCAGAGTCAAGTCCATCTGGTATTACAAAGACTTGTCTTGGGAGGATAATGCTAGATTTGAGAAGTAAGTATTGACATATGCCTTGCTTTCCAGATTCCAGTTCTGAGGCCACAGTCTTGCATTGAGATTATTCCCATGAGTTAGAACAACTTGCATAATTGAGGATTGTTGAACTGAGCTATGGAATCCAGAAAAATGTCTCCTGCTCATGACTGTGATGAATTTGATTCAATATCTGTGCACTTTATGCAAGTAATTAGAATTATAATAGAAACATATATTTGACAGCAAAAAGAGACTCTGAGCATCTAATGTTAGTTCCTGTATTAAATAGGCCATATAATTTTCTTAAAATAATCTTTCAACTCTGTGGGTCAGTTAAAAATAAATGAAATTAAAACAGATCAACCTTACCCAAAGTGGAAGGTCTTCCATTGGAAGAACGGCTCTTGCGCAAAAGGAGGGTTTTGCACAAAAAGGCGCCGTCTACACAGAGCTTTTTTGCGCAAAAACCTCTTGTGCAAATGGGAAAGGAAGAGGGAATGCAAACGAGAGCATGACATATGCAAATGAGTGCTCCATCTGAATTTCCTCTTCTGCAAGAGGATCGTAGTTTAGACATAGCTTCATAAATTACTAGTTAACACTTAGGCTAAGGGGTCATGATGTAGGGGCTATTACTTACTTGGAAATGAAATTGAAGAAACACTCTACGTTTTTGTAAAGCTTAATCGGTGTCTGATTTTTCCTATTTAAAAAAGCCCAACTTATTTGGCATTCGGGATAGTTAAGACAGAGAACTCAAGATTAGATTCTGACCTTGTGATTAACTAAATTGTACTTCTGTTACTACAGATTGATCCACTCTAGTCCAGTACCAAACAAAAGAATTTGCTGAACCATGGGAGGTCAGTATTGTCTAGCAGTATTACCAATTCTTCCATTGCTTACTGGGCCCTTAGAAGACATTTAGGGTTAAATTAGAACTAAATAAGAGCAAAAAACACTGAGTACCAGAACTGGTGTCTATAAAAAACTTTATAGGACCACAGGAAAGTTGGTCATACCCATGATAAGTGGACATCTGGCTAAATAAAATTATGCTGGATCACCGATGTTGCTGCACCAGAGAGTGATGGACTAGAGATATTCAGCCTGTGCAGAAAAAGCAGGTCATATTACTACACAGTGCACTTTTATGTTCCATTCATTGCCCTGCAGTGCCACCAAAATTCATTTTATGGAGCATTTCACAATAATAATAAGCAAAAGCTTATCAGATAGTGTACTAGTCCCTTGACTAGTTGCTTAAAAGCATCCGCAGTGGGTAGGGGAGGCAAGGTTCCCCCCAGCACCCGCAGTGGGTAGAGGAGGCAAACTTCCCCCCAGCACCCACAGTGAGTAGGGGAGGCAAGGGGTAGCTGGGACCAGGCATGAGCTGGATGCTGCACCTCTGCTTTTTAAATATATTAAAAGGCTAAAGTGCAGCAGGAGGGACCCAGCGTGAGCCGGGACAGCCGATTCCTGGCTTCGCAAGGTCCTTCCTGCTGCGCTTTAGCCTTTTAAATGTATTAAGAGTCGACAGGCAATGGTATATATATGGTATATATGGTCATGCCAATTTTCTTCCACAATTTGATCTGAGGAAGTGGGTCTGGCCCACGAAAACTCATCATCTAATAAACCATCTTGTTAGTCTTTAAAGTGCTACATAGTCCTGTGTTTTGTTTCAGCTAGACTAGACTAACATGGCTACATTTCTATTACTATTACACAGAAGAAGAGCTTCCGTTTCAGGCCTCTCTAAATTAGCTCTTTTCTCTTTTCCACTTCCCCATGAAACACTGAATTATTCAAAACTGATAAAGTCTTACATCCTGTGGGAATGGCCTTGTTTTAATCTAGGAAAATTCCATTCCATTCAGTATACGCCTTAATTTTTCAGGATAAGATCATGTTCCTTGTTCTCTGCTAAAACCGGTTTATACTAAACCTTAGGATCACAAATGATTTCATTCAATGCAGCTAAAATTGTTTTAAAATCTATTTTCCTAGGTTTGACACTTTTTCATTAGTGTTATTCACTATATATACAAATTCCACTGCATGTCATACTAACTGGAAGGTCCACATGACTCAGGATTAGTAATGAATTATGAAACCTTTCACTCCTGGGTTTTTCGTTTGAATTCATCCCAGGTTTGTAGCAACCAAAAGTGCAACTGTCTTTATAATAAGATTTCACTAGCAAATAGTTTATCCAGAGTAAAAAAAAATTATAATAGGTGTTATAAACAGGGCTTGACAAATAATACAATCTACTCGCCTGTGGCAACATGTAACATAAACATGTTACAGATGCATACATGCAGAATGTGTAATATAAGTACACCAGTATCGGGTGCTTTTACATGGTTACAAGCAAGCTGTTGAATTCTATAACAATTATCTATTAACACCTCAGCCAATTACATATTAACTCTTTATAAATTGTTTATAAATGGCACCTTACTATCAAGCGTGGTTCAGAAGTCATTACCAATTGCTGGCCTATGTAGAATCAGTGATCAATCTACATAATAGTTCTCAATAGAGTGGCCAAGGGATGAACTAATGTACCCTTTCACCAATACAGGGCAGCATGTTAGCTGCCATGATTTACATTTTCGGCCCTATCTTGCATTTCTTTAGGCACTAAGTTCAACATGTATATTGGATGTGTAAATCCTTCATTAAATGCACTTCCAAATAGCTTACAGGAAAACCATTTTCTATAAAATAGGATACATGGCACATGTCTCAGTGGAGTTAGAGCAGTGGATTTCCAACCTTTTTACCACAAGATCACTTTCAATGTAAGTGCAATGTAAGATCTACCTCAAACCCAAATACCCTTGCCCAGATTCCATCCCACCCCATCTCTAAGGCCCCGCCCTCACTACACCCCTTCTCTAAGGCCTCACCCTGCTCACTCCATCCCCCTTCTGCCCTGAATCTCATTCACTTTCACCAGGATGGGGTAGAGGGTTGGGGTGCAGGGTCTGGTCTTTGGCCAAGGGGTTCAGAGTGTGGAACGAGACACCCTGAAGTTAGGGTGCTGGAGTCGGCGCTGGAGTGGCCTAGGGCATAGGGCATTTACCTGGGACTGGGGGGGTCAAGTCCTGTCCACCCAGGAAGTAGCAGAACAGCCAACACCAGCTGTTCCAGCAATAGAGCTGGGTCCCTCATTAGGAAAGCAGGATAAGAGACTCTGTGAAGGAAGGTGAGGTGGGTGTTGGTGTGGCTTTGGGGATAGCGAGCTCAACTGGGGAGTGCAGGGTGGTGGGTTCAAGACCCATCCCTGCCTTTACACCATCCTTTGAGTGTCCAGGCAGCCAACACAGGGATAAGGGATCCTCTGAAGGTAGGGAGGCCACGTGGGTTTTTGAGGCAACTAGGGGAAAGGGCATTTGCCTGGGGGAGGGCAGCCAACACAAGTTGCTCCCAGGCATGGAGCAAGATCCTTTGTTAGGAAGGCAGGATAAGGGTCCCTCTGAAGGTTAGGAGATGAGGTGGGTTCTGGAGTGGCTTAAGGGATACAGCATTGGCTGAAGAGCATAGGGTCGAGGGCTTGAGCCCAGTCTCCCCTTGACATCCAAGGTCCTATCTCCCACCCACCCTGCACGTGACCAGACAGCCATAACAGGATAAGGGACCTTCTGAAGGTAGGGTGATGGTGTGGCTTAGGGGAAAGGGAACTTGTTTGGGGAGCACAGGGTGGTGAGCAGACATGTGGACAAGGGGGATCCAGTAGATATAGTATACTTAGATTTCCAGAAAGCTTTTGACAAGGTTCCTCACCAAAGACTCTTACATAAATTAAGTTGTCATGGGATAAGAGGGCAGATCCTTTCATGGATTGAGAACTAGTTAAAGGACAGGAAACAAAGGGTAGGAATAAATGGTAAATTTTCAGAATGGAGAAGAGTGACTAGCGGTGTTCCCCAAGGGTCAATCCTAGGACCAATCCTATTCAACTTATTCATAAATGATCTGGAGAAAGGAGTAAACAGTGAGGTGGCAAAGTTTGCAGACGATACTAAGCTTCTGAAGATAGTTAAGATCTCACCAAACTAAGTGATTGAGCAACAAAATGGCAAATGAAATTTAATGTGGATATATGTAAAGTAATGCACATTGGAAAAAATAACCCCAACAATACATACAGTATGATGAGGGCTAATTTAGCTACAACTAATCAGGAAAGAGATCTTGGAGTTATCATGGATAGCTCTCTGAAGACATCCACGCAGTGTGCAGCAGAAGTCAAAAAAGCAAACAGGATGTTAGGAATAATTAAAAAAGGGATAGAGAATAAGACCGAGAATATCTTATTGCCTTTATATAAATCCATGGTGCACGTACAGATGTGGTCCCCTCATCTCAAAAAAGATATACTGGCATTAGAAGAAGTTCAGAAAAGGGCAACTAAAATGATTAGGAGTTTGGAATGGGTCCTATATGAAGAGAGATTAAAGAGACTAGGACTTTTCATCTTAGAAAAGAGGAGACTAAGGGGGGATATAATAGAGGTATATAAAATCATGAGTGGTGTGGAGAAAGAATATAAGAACTAGGGGCCACCAAATGAAATTAATTGGCAGCAGGTTTAAAAAAATACAAGGAAGTTCTTCTTCACACAGCGCACAGTCAACCTGTGGAACTCCTTACCTGAGGAGATTGTGAAGGCTAGGACTATAACAGGATTTTAAAAAGAGCTAGATAAATGCATGCAGGTTAAGTCCATTAATGGCTATTAGCCAGGGTGGGTAAGGAATGGTGTCCCTAGCCTCTGTTTTTCAGAAGGTGGAGATGGATGGCAGAAGAGAGATCGCTTTATTGTTACCTATTTGGTTCACTCTCTCTGGGGCAACTGGCATTGGCCATTGTCAGCAGACAGGATATTGGGCTGGATATGGAGCTTTGGTCTGACTCTGTATGGCCGTTCTTATGTTCAAGTCCTGTCTCCCCCCCAACCCCCCCCTGACTATCATATGAGGAAAGCAGGATAAGGGACCGTCTGAAGTTAGACAGGTGGGGTGGGTTCTGGAGTGGCTTAGGGGATAGGGCATTCATCTGGGGAGCAGAGGGTGGTGGGCTTGAGTCCAGTTCCCCCTCTGCGTGCCCTGGGAGTGATCAGACAGCCAGCACAGAATAGGGGACCCTCTGAAGGTAGGAAGGTGAGGTAGCTCATATGAGGAAAGCAGGATAAGGGACCGTCTGAAGTTAGACAGGTGGGGTGGGTTCTGGAGTGGCTTAGGGGATAGGGCATTCATCTGGGGAGCAGAGGGTGGTGGGCTTGAGTCCAGTTCCCCCTCTGCGTGCCCTGGGAGTGATCAGACAGCCAGCACAGAATAGGGGACCCTCTGAAGGTAGGAAGGTGAGGTAGCTTCTAGAGTGGCCTAGGGGATAATCATTTGCTAGGGGAGTACAGGGTTGGAGACTTGAGTCCTGCCTAGCCTGGAAGCAGCAGGACAGCCAACACAGGCTGTCCCAGGAATGGACCTGGTTCTCTTGCATTAGGAAATCAGGATAAGGGATCATCTGAAGGTAGGGAGATGAGGTGGTTTCTGGAGTGGTAGCAATGTGGGGTAGGTTCTGGATTGGCCTGGGGCATTTGCAGTGCATTTTTTGTTAAAAAAGGGTGCTGATACTCCAGGTGAAAAGTTGTTGAGCTCTGACTGGAGGTGCCGGTACTGCGTTCCGGACAGTACCATCACAAAAAAAGCACTGGGCATTTGCTTAGGAGAGGACAGGGGTTCTGGTTTCAAGTCCCACCCCTCCTCCACCCACCCCGCCAGTAGTCAGATAGCTAACTCAGGGATGGGAGCATTTGTGTCAAGGCAGGCTTACTAGTGCCTTGGCCCTGCACCACTCCTGAAAGCAGCTGGCATGTATAGCAGTGACTCCATGTGCTGCCCCTCATCTACAGGCACTGACACCACAGCTTTTACTGGCCACAGTTCTCTGTTATTGATCAATGGGAGCTGCAGGAGTGGTGCCTGCAGGCAAAGACAGCATGTGGAGACCCCCTGCTCTGCCTTTCTCAGGGGCTGCATGGACATGCCAACCACTTCCAGGAGCACAATTGCCACAGGGATAATTACTCCAGCCCCTACAGGTTAGGCATTTTAGAACTCACCAATCAAAGAATTAAATTTAAACATGAGAGAAATGAAGGTTATGAAACGCACAGACCAGTCAAGGACAGTGTGTGTTTGTGAGAGTGACAGAGATTTGCATTGCCAAGCTGCCTCCATCCCCTTCTCTCTGTGTGGAGACAGAGTACAGGAGGGGGGGAAGAGGGACATCCTGACATCATTACACCCACCCCTTCTCCCTCCCACACCCTGCACAGCAAGCAGGAAGCTCCCAAGGTACAGCTCCAAGGCAGAGGGCAGGAGAAGCATGACAGTGGGTGGAGGGGCCACTGAAGTGCCAGCTCTTGATAGCTTCCCAGCCAAACCAGTCAGGATCCCCTGGCAGAAGCTCCAAGATCTACTGGTAGATCCCAATCTACTGGTTGGTGACCACTGGGTTAGAATGTGTGTCTGCAATTAAATGAATAGGATTCCTTGATAATTTGCCAGTAATTCAAATGAGATATTACTGGGATGGGAAATAATTAATAGGGATGTAATCTGATAACATGCAAAGCCACTTATTTGACAACACAATAACCATTGTGCCAACAGAGATTAATCTACTGTCCATCTGCTTTGCAATGGTATACATTGCAAGGTGGAATAATAACAGCCTGCCTGCCCTGTAGACTTCCACCCTGGCTCATGTGAAGTCACTGACAGCAAAGCCTCACTTTTGAGAGGAGCAACTGGCCACATTGCTGTTCCCTTGTGCTGTGCATTTGTTATGATTAACTTCAACTGAAAACATAAATGAATGGCTAGGGGTAGGCATAGAACATGCAGCAAGCAGACTTGTCATAGTAACTACTACTTCAGAACAATTAGCAGATTAGAGCCAGTTCTTTACTGAATAGAATGACTCAGAAGAGTTCTTTAATGTCAGTACAATGTCACTTCCTTTCAGTGAATGCTTGATGCCTTAAAAGGAATTCATGTTTTCAGGGAAACTTTTATAGCAGGAGGGAGCCGTGTTCCTCACAATCTGGGTTTGATATAGGATGAAGCCATAACAGACAGTGCATTCCATAGAAAACGTGCTGGTGAATTTCAATCACTTATAGAGAGAGGGATGAGAGAGTATTATTTAATGGTTAAAGCTCAGGACTTCTGAGGTGAAATCCTGACTTTTTGGAGTCTATGGCAAAACTCCCATAGACTTTAGTGGAGCCAGGAATTCATATTTGGGCTGCATTTGTAGCTCTGCTGCTGACCCATTGTGTGAATTTGTGCAATTCTCTCAACTACTTGGTGCCTCAGTTTCCCAATATATAAAATGTGGTTAATTATATGACCTTCCTTGCAGGCAAGCTGTAAGTACTAAATAATTGCTTGCATAGATGAGTTATTATTAACTTGAACTATTAATTTATTACTAACTAATGAAAATTACTAATTTTTTGGAAGGACAGGTTCCTCTAGAATTCTCTTTCTGTCTTCTCTTCTCTCTACCATATTATCAGAACATTTCTGTCCTGCCAAGCCAGTGACCATCCAAGACCAAGAATGGAATCCACCCATTTGGCTCATATTATGCTGTCTCTAGACACTACCAATCTTGCCCTATCATGTACTATGTTGTGATACGTTGATTTGCCATACTACTGTCAGAGCTTGTGATAACTCAGCTGAGGAGTTCATTCAGTCTCTCTGGATATTGCATAGCAATGTTAAGGCCATGTTTTCCAATGACAGCTGCTCACTAATACTGTGCAGTGTACCAGAAATGAACAAAATGCCCAGCTCTCTATATTTTCTTTTTCAAATTAAATAATAGCAAGCTGCAGTATTTCCTTTGGCACGTCACTGAGGATGTCAATTGCCTTTTCCATCTCTGCTCACCACTTTTTAGGCCATAAGCCTCTCTATCGTAGTGGAACAAAGTACAATGTGTGGGGAGTGGGGGAAGAAGTTTAATAGGTAGTAAGAAATTTGGGCCCTATCACATTACTTTAGATGGTGCAACGTGTGTGCATTCTGTGAGGCAGCAACTTTAAGGGGGTAAGACAATCATAGAATCATAGAATAATAGGACTGGAAGGGACCTCGAGAGGTCATCGAGTCCAGCCCCCCGCCCTCAAGGCAGGATCAAGCTCCGTCTACACCATCCCTGACAGATGTCTATCTAACCTGTTCTTAAATATCTCCAGAGAGGGAGATTCCACCACCTCCCTTGGCAATTTATTCCAATGCCTTCAGCTTTCTGACTGTGTGAGCATCAAAATATTTTTTACATATCATTTCTGTTTACTAATGACTTAGGGTTCAGTCCTGACCTATGTCCAAACTATGCCTGGTGTTACACAGGAGTGGAAGACAGTGAAGTAAAGGTAGCATTAGGGATTTTCATGGCTCCTGATCCTGGAGCTGGACCACTCCCTGGTGAAGATAGAGCAGCATTCAGACTGCTTGTACTAGTCACCTATCATTTCAAGGGATGCCTGTCTGCAAGGAATTGCCTGGACATAGGAATGCCCCAGCTATACCAATTTTCTTTTGGGAATGGTCCTTGCAACAAATATATGGCAGGTACTGACATAGGGGAATTTACACAAGTCTCCATCTTGATTTTGGGGATAGTTGGTTTTTAAAAGAATCCTAA